ATTACTAATTTGCGGAGTTTTTAATTATTATTATTTAACGCGGACACGATATAAAATTGAAGGCATAAAAAAGTCAAATATCATCTTCACAAATATCGCATTCCGGGGTGAGTAATACTGTTCGCTTAAAATTGGAACCTTAATTTACAAACTGTGATACAAATCCTACGAAAAAGATAAAAACCAACATAAAATTAATTTGCGTGCACTCCTTAATAGTTGTCTTTGACATCGTCGCCGATGTCAAATCAATTTTCTGTCTAAAAAACCAAACTACGATATCCGCCGTTGCATGAGAATTAATACTTACTGATGAATAAAGAATGCTTCAATATTATATAGTTTATTAGCATTAATTGGGATGTCAAGCCACCGAAAGGATCGCGGTGACAAAAATATTTACTGCGGCCTTGGATTATGACAAAATTATAAAATAAAAAACGCCGCATTGTTACAAAGTTTTCAATCTTCAAGCAAATTCCGAAAAAAAAATTTGTCACGGCGATCGTTTCGGCGGCCGACATTCCAATTACGGTTGTTTGAAATGACAATACTCATTATTCAGTGTTGTGTTCGTTGGAAATATTCGAATAATTCGACTAATAAAATATTTGCCCCTAACTAATCACGGCGCATGTTAATAATATTCATTGAATGGCAATTAAAAATCAACTTGTTAAACATTAAATTCCAAGTACTAGTTTCACATTTAATGCAATTGATCGGCGCTACAGGTGAGCGTGTTTTTGTACTTATATATAAACGATTTTGACGCTACTGACATCCGTGAGTTATACTTCTCTCCCAAATTTCACGACTTCTAATGTTTTATTTTCAAATGCGATCTTAAGATCGATAAGTAATTAAGAATAAAACAGCAATGCACCCAATATAAAAGCCAACCAAGGTGAATTGGACTCGGACAGTGAATATCACAAGTGTACGTCTTCCTATACTGTAATATAAATTCAAATTAATACACGCTAAGCTAAAATCCGAGATGCAAAAACTCGAAAATACTTCGTCGAGGTTATTTTGCCTTTGTGATGTCACGACAGTCCTGCGGCAACAATGATAATTCATTATGACGATGCAATTGCACAAATGTGCATGTCATACTAAATCTTCATTTTTATGGGTTTCGGAATTCTTAAAATAAAATCTGAGTTAACAGACAGGTGCGCAGCATTACATAAATACCTATTTTATAAAAAACTCAAAATCGCCAAAAATGACTTACGCAATTCGGTTATTAGCGTGACGAAATGTTCCGCCGAGACACTTTTTTAATCAAATTATGGTAGTTTATGCAAACGTGTTGTTGCGTGGTTAGATAGAGCAAGTTAGGATAATATACCTTCACAATCCGCGTCGCGTTTACAAGTTTGTATAATGAATACACTGAAACTTTCGGCAGCAATATAAAGAAATGGTTACATAGGGAAGTCCAACGCACAATTAATTTATTTTTTATTTCAGTGCCGAGTGGGGCACGTGAAACAAGTGGGTTGGGTGTGACATGTAGGACACATGGTACAAGTGTGACACGTGGTACAAGTGGGTTGGGTGTGACATGTGGCACAAGGGGGACACCTTGTACAAGTGGTACACGTGGGACAAGTGGTGGGACACGTGATACACGTGGGTTAAGTGTGACATGTGGTACAAGTCGGACACGTCAATTTGGAGACACCCACCTGTGAACTGATTGAACTTTCCGCTACCCCACAAGTGTGCCTTTGAAAATTGCACTGTGCGTGGCTCTAATCGGCATCAGTGAAAAGTGGACTTCTTCATGAATAGACGGAATATTATCATGTTTAACCGTCACATTTCCATAATAAATTTGATTAAGGTAGTTTTATCACAAGGTGTTTCATTGCCTATCGCGAATGCACCCCCTTAAAACCCAGAATCGAATGCTCTATGTTGCGCAACTGTTCAAATTGTTGGCAGTGTCTTCAAATGCAACTTGCTATGGTAAAATACTGATATGTTTTTATTCACCGCCGACTATACGTAAATTTTACACTATGGCACCTTTATCACGGATACGCATTCATATGACGCCGATTTTTAAAATTCATGTCCATGTATTTGAGCACCGCGATCTTATTCAGCTTCGGCAAAATTCTTGGTAGACACGCGGTGTCTTCATTCAGTTATATAAAAACATATAAAAAAAGAAACAATGACGTTGCAGTAGTGAACCCGTTACGAAACCGATCAACTGAGAATTGTTCTAATATCCAATTTCACTGAAATTTATGTGACGATAGAAACGAAACATTCAGGTAAATTTGTTGTTATCCATAGAATAAAAAAGAGTAGTTCATATTTTGGCCCCGTTTACAGCTAAACAACGCGAACCGTATGTTCAGTGAAGAGAGAAAATAACGCTGTGTGTACGCTTTGCAATATTACTTATCGATTTTAATCGGTAAATATGTTGATAGGTATCTGTCTGTCTGTATGTCTGTTAGATGCACGCGATATCTCACAAAAGCGAAATTGAATCTGCTCTAGATTTTGCATGTGCATTCATCATATCTCGGACCAGAAGCCTATTGATTTTGGGCGAATTATGTCGTATAGTTAGCCAGTTAATAATTAATTAGTGACGGGACACAAGGTGTCACTATGGAGTAAGAGCGCTGTTTTGGGATCCCTAACTTTCGATCGATAAGTCTTCGGTCTCTGACCGATATTCTCGTTTACTTTCTTGAGGCTCTTGAAGCTGTTTTTTGTATTTATTTTATTTTGTAACATAATGTAGGGAAGAAAAACTTAGACACGATTTAAAGGATTACAAATATAAATTCTATAAAGTGGTAAATCACTTTTCTTTGTAACGTTATATACATATTCATCATTGCATTGATATTAAAGTTTTATCGAGAGTCGGCGAATAATGTCTTGCTGAGAACATGAGGCTTTGATCGCTAATATCTGAAAAATGAGTGAGGTAAATCGACTTTTTTTAATAAAGTTGGCAGATAACTTGATTCACACTCATTAAATTAAAGCTCAGTACAACAATATGAAAAAAAAAACAGAGTAAAACCAAATGATTAGATGACGATGAATGTATTCCATCACAGAAAGCCTAGTAACTCGAGGAAATTAAAATAGAAAAACAGTACGCTTTCGAAATAAAAGAATCAAAACAATAGCCGGAATAGGTGGTAATATGGGCGGGAAGCAATCAAATGGAAGTTGAATATAGCATCAGTGTGTCATTCAAATTTCAATCCAATTCTGTCAATCAAGTTTATAGTGGTAGAAAGGCTGACATTATGGATAACTGTCTCTTATTAGAAGGATAAGAGTTACATATCTATCTCGGTTGAGAGCAAAGGGAATAGCCTTTCTTTCGGTTATCATTCCATGTTGGGTATGGAATTAGCTAGCAGGTCATTTGTCAGATGCACGGAATTGGTGATAGAGGAAGCCGTAACCTACGAGAGATTACGTGAGTCACCATACGGCGAGGAGTCGAACCCCCTTGCACATAATCATCTCCCACGCAGGGGCGGACACCCGGGGGTTTGGGCGAAGGGGAGCGGTCGCCCCCTGACCCCCAAATAATAATAATAATAATCGCCATGGTATTTTAGTTTAGTAATATTTTTATTTTGACGCAAGAAGTCGCAACCGCGAGTTACGTTGCACACAATTAAATTAATTTATAAGGACATTTTAGAATCTCGTGGCTGTCATGGATTGAATATTTTACGCGACAGAAAAATCATTATACGCTTAAATAGGCGGCTCTTTTAACGAACGCGTAATCGCGGTGCTTGTTGCAGACGGCAATGGGAAGTTCCGATTTTGGCGCGGTGCTTTTCGGTAGGATATCCTAGTTTGCCCCCCCCCCCCAAAAATTATGGAAAGTGTCCGCCCCTACTCCCGCGGGATTCGAACTGGGTACCACGCAGGGTAATCAGGTGTGCGATGGCGAGCGTCTTCCTAACGCTTAGCACAATGTGGCACACGGCTACTGTTTGTCGTCCATGGACTTCGTATTAACAAAAGTTTATAAAAACGACGAATTGTTGGTAAGGAAAATATATATATTTCTTATATATAAAATAGTTAAGATGAAGACAATGATCATTGATTCACGTAGGTTCAAAATTGTGATGAGGTTGAATGATATTACAGAAAGCTTCGAGGTGGGCGAAAAAGTTTTGTGAATTTAGCACCAGATGTTTTACCAATAGTGATTTTTGCAAAAATGTTTTTAAGCTGGTACTGTGTATATATTATACTACAAACCACATTCTCGTGAAATTACACTCAGTATTCATATACAAAACCTAATATTGCAAAAAGTATTTTTCTAGATTGTAAAAATGCAAAAACGACTATTACGAGAGAGTAGGGATTTTCGAAGTCATATTTCGATTTACTTATTAATTTTGGGCGCGATATTAATACACCCCCGTATACGTATTATTCGGAATGATTTTGTATTGTTGGAATAATTACTGGCACACGCGTTGTAGAATTGTTTGCGTCTCACTAACTGTTGCTCTTTTGTGTCGTCCGGCACTTTTAGTTTTTTAAGTATTGTTGACCTCTGACATGGGAAAACTACAGCACGCGAGACAAATCCGGCCCGTTGAGTAATTCAATCTGCTCGCCTAATGCTGCCGCAACAAAACTAGAACCAAATTTTTCATGTTTTGGCTAAAAAAAAAATAGCTGAAGTGATTTGTTGAGATTGCGATTAAATTTAGTCTTGGCAAGAGGTTTATTGTTTCCCATTTTTTGCTTTTGTAACAATGTAAATTTTGTTCATAAAATGTAACTTTTTACGTCACACTTACTTGGCCCGCCAGTCCAGATTGACCAAATTTTTGGCCCCCTGATCTAAAAACCTTTCTCATCCCTGGTTTAACTTCTGGCAATACCGATTATTGATAATATAATACGTCAATTTAACATTGTGTTGATTGATAGTTATTCTTTCCTCAGCGCAATAAATATAATAAACGATGTGTCTTTTCGGATGTTGCGGTAAGAAAAATGAAGCTGTGGCTCCTAAAAGTAAAGTCGAGCAACGCGCCAGCGACAACGAATCAGGAAATGAGATTTGTGACAGAAGCGGCAACAAATGGATTAAAGATGAATTTGTGAAAGAAAATGATCCCATTAGCGTAAAACATGATTCAACCAAGAACCATTTTTGGAAAATAGAAAGAACAACTACCCTGGACGAGCCAAGTTGGAAATTTGGCTTGCCTTCTGCAGATGGACAACTACTCTACTTAACCTACAGTTTGGACGTAACTGATAATACAGTCAAAATGAAAAAAATAGTAAAGAGCGAAGTCATAAAAGCAAGGTATACTTGCTTTCCAATATAAAAGCCATCTTTTTAGTATATTAAATTCTCAATTCACCTGAAGGTACGCCCGTCCGATGCCCACCAATTTTTGATCTCAAGGTTTAAATCTTGAGTCAAGTACGAGTCCCAACAATTTTATTCCAATGCCCAAAGCTAGGCGAGCGACTACACTGTTTGATCACTTAGTCACAAGCCAAGTGAGTGCTGTTGTTTCGAGTATACTACATAAACATCAAGTAAAATGTGTTAATGAAGTCACATATTTCCAAAATAAAACAGGAATTGATTAGTAAATTTGTCAACATTTGTGAATCAATTAGCCATATTTCGAGTTTTTGCTATAGCAAGGTAGTGATTTTTTTTTGTTATTTTATAAATCCACTCAATTGTATCTGCGAATATCATAGGTTGAATCAGTTTAGCAGTAAAGTTCGAGTTTTACTCACGTTTAGATGACACTACTTATTCCGCGTCTTTCACTGGAGTTGAGACAATGAACCGTATTCACCAACCATTTACCAAAATATTGAAATGTTATTTAGAACTCTTATAACCTTACACTACAATATTCCTTCTCGTGAATTTTGGAGATACGAAAGTCGATTATTAGGAGCCTCTCTCCCAATACTTATCTAGCTAAATTTGTTTTCACTTTTTTCAGTCATTTTACGATGGTATTACAAGCTGACACAGGGATATTGTTTCGGGCTGACTCGCCGCATAACCGTTATCTTGTGCGAAATCAAGACGGAATTTTGGAGATGAAAACAACTGATGATCCAACTAATGATATGGAATGGAGGATCAATTATATCACACCCATTTCTGTCACACCAAGGTATAATTGCATTAAATGATAGTCTGGTACTTGGTGATTTTTAAGTTACGGTATCTTCATCGTTTTCTGCCTTCGTAATTGGAACTGTGTAAAACTGTCCGGCCATATTCTCCACTATTAATTCAAGCATTTTGATTCCCTCCAGGTTTGTGGGTAAATTCGTATGATATGTAAGCTATAGGATGACCCCAAAACAGAAGCCATAAATTTCTTGTCTTTATGAAAATTGAGTTAATTATTTGAATTTTTACATTTCAACTTCTGCTTTATGTAAGCTTTTATTCAAAACGTTTCAGGAATCTAAAATGTTTGCCATAAAAATTTATTTTCAATATATACTATGTTAAAAGAACTCGGCATTGGGACATACTTACGCCAGTTGAGCGAAAAGTTAATCACTCGCATGCAATTCTCTTGCAATTTCTCTGATTTATTGCTGCAATTTACAGCCTGGGAGTTCACCAATTGTTTATGGATTGTTCTGATACACATTATACTTTGAATAACCCCATTGTCGTATGGAGGTCCTCTCGTTTTGCTGTAACCACTGAAACCCAATTACTCTATTTGCATCAGCGTTCCTCAATCTGTGGAACACTGCTGTTCCTGAGTTTCTTCGGAGTATTCCGCGGGACAGGAATCGGTCGCCATTGCACTCAGAATCGTAAATTTGTCTCCCAATTGGCGACAAACAGGCGGGCAAGCCTTGCTATCTGAACAGGCTGAGAGACCTCGTGCCAGTTTGTAGAGCACGGCCTTCTCGATGACCGTTCAATATCATTGACCGTCGGCCCTTGATGCAATCCTGCCACTTTCCGTCTCAGAAGCAAAATCATATTTTGATACAAAATAAAATGGAATACGGAAGTCATTAGCAAAGCCAGAAAACTTAAATTGGAAATGACTTTGGACGAAGTGCTTAGTAACATGGACATTATTGACACTGTTATCGAATTTGTTTTGTCTACGGGAAGAAATGTTTAGAAATAATTACTTATTGTAATTGATTCAATTGTATCATTATATATTCGTAAACATTGTATTATATGTTATTGTAGTAGTTTTGAATTTGAATTGATCAAAGATGCAAAAGACCACTGAAGTTGTAAGCACCATGAAGCATAAAACAACAACAACAATTTTTTAATTGTCAAGACGAAAAAACAAATTGCGAAACCCTGCTCTACATCGTTGAAGTCAGAGGCAAACTGTTGGCCTCCGCGCATTTTTAGTAATCATTTTTAGCAATAAATTTTTAACTATGGGCAGTGGCTGTTGGCAGTCTGTAGCAAGATGATTAAATTGCTTAGAATAGTATTGCTACCTCACCCCTGCATTATACGCTTGCAGATTCACTTAGACAATCATTTATCAATATGGGTGGATTCATGTGATAAAGTCTTATGTTTCTTTTCAGTTTTCCGTCTTTGTATAGCGCACAAATAAAACATGGTACCGAATCCAAGAAATGGTTATCTTCTGATCCTGCCAATAACTATTCTGTTCAACAAGTAGAAACCAGGGCAACACAGAATTGGTTTGTCACACCCAGTACCAACCACATTTTTTCAATTTCCGTCCGGCAGATGTCACATAACTAAATATTAGTGTTTAGAGATTCCAGCAATGCGGCGTAAGATATTTATAATTGTTTTGGTTAGTAACTATATTATATATAATAGCAAACGAAATAACCAGTATTTTTGTGTCGAAACAGAAAATTCGAATCTACCAAATCGGGATCAGGAGTTACACTCCAATGCACCGACAACAGAAAATACATTCATGGTCCAGAAGATGACGGGGATTTGGAATTGAATACAACGGAATCTGAAGCTACCGTTTGGGAGTTTCCTATAATAGACGCTGGATTTATTGTTTGTGGAACAACCATCCTTCTTTCCGAAATACCCATCGAGAGGAGTGAAACAGCATAAACTTTTCGCAGCTGGAATGTATGTATCAAATGAAGTAAAAATACTTGAAGAACATTTGATTGAAAACAACAATCCTGGTTGATATATATTGAGAACTGACTTCTTAACAAAATTGCTGCATGTGCTAGGTATATTCACGTTAGAAAATTAGATAGTTTTTGAGCATTTGGCGTGAAGAATCGATAAACGTTGTTTATATCCAGTTTCGAAATTAGGGAGAAATAATTAAATTTTGCCAAAATTATGGACTGCAGTAATTTTGCTACTGAAAAGTGGCATTCACTTAATACAAACTCGTGCCAAAACCGTTTAGCTTTAAAATCAAATCATCATCACTTTTTGCAACATGGTTGCGATATATGTGGTATATATATATCTCTTCAGAATGAAAACTGAGTTGCCAAATCGTAAATGTTCTACAAACTTGAATGTAACAGCATCAGCTTATTCAGCGTTAGGTAACGACGACAAAACGCCTCGGATTGTTGTTTCTTTCTTTGGAGCATGAACGAGAAGTCAATGAGCCATGCACTCAAGTACAACTCGATATGGTTTATTTGCTTCTTATATGGAGAGAAACTTTTAGAGTTTGACGAACCAGCAGTAGTAGATAGCTAAGGATTTTACGTTTAAGAATAAATCAAAAGACAAATATATATGCATAAATATCAATGATCAGCTTCGTTATAGAACATGGTATTTGATCAGCATTGTTTTTGCGGGCTTGGATTGAAATCTTGAGCCAATTTGAATTTGTAAATTAAACTGAAATAAAATATGCTTGCATTTTTTAAATGTCATATAATATATACAGAATGTTGTTGTCACAACAAATTTCGAACTGCTGCACTGGAAAATTCTACCTTTGTTAATTCCGTTTACGCATGGCTAAAGGTATCTAGATGATTTACAACACTTGCCACATTATTACATTAAATAATCAAAGGTACTTCCCATAATGTTGTGGTATAAATTCCACACATACTAATTTTGTACATGAAGTGAATATATATGATGAATTGAATTGTTTCGCTAAATAATTGCGGCTGTTCAAAATTGCTTATCATCACAACCACTGCGTCAATTGCTTGAGGATGGAAGCATGTGCTATTGATTAACCTGTTTCATATGCAATTAATTTTTTGCAGAGAGTTGCGACTATCTGGAGCGTGGTTCTCAGATGAAGCGACTTTAGGCGTTAGATTCATTCACAATATGATGGTACGATTTTCAATTTAATCCCCAATCTTTGGCACTTCAAAATGAAACGGCCTTAGTTAGGCCTGAGCTAAGGCAGGGGGGTCCAAGGTTGAAAGGCCGCAAAAAAATTTTGTGGTCTCGCGTGCCGCAGTCGGAGAAAACCCAAAAGTGATCAAAACATCGCGAGTTTACTTGCGTTTGTCACGCAAACCAGGCGTAGAATATTAACGTATAAATGTATCTTATTAGACTCGTTATTCAGTTTTTGGAAACAAAAGGATGTCAAGCACTTCGTGACAAGTCGCCCATCTGTTCCTCGTGGACTGATTGTTCGACGTTCCATGGAAATATGTCGAAAAATTTGTCCAGCCACATGCTTCCGCTTATCTTTGAACGCAAGTGAGTATATTGGCCTATCAACAACAATTTAATACAATAATTTTCTTTATCCTTATTCGACGACGCTCGTAGTTTACCTATTCAGTGGCAACTTGTGATGCTGGTAAATAGTAAACAAATTTATGAAAAGTAAATTACTTTCAACCAAATCAAAACATGAAATTGCTGAAACAATTACGTTTGTTCAGAAGTGAGAGAGCAATGCTCAAACATACGGATACGAAGGTCCCGCGCGAATCGATACCGCCTCAGCTGATCAGATCGGAAGGGAAAACGCGATGAAGTTGAAGTAACTCCTAATTTCACTAAAAAGTGTTGCCAAAAGGATTCATATATCATAAGTACACTTTTGTGTAACAAAATCGTTACACAGGTACAGGGAAATCCAGAGTATATTCTTTCTTTGGAACATATATACAAAAAGTACTTTAAATTGGCATCCGAATAAATTCAGCAAAAACACGAACGAGCGCAGCAAGCGGCAATGTCGATATCGAACTATTACGCTCTGATAACAAAAAATAAACACGTGACATCTGCGGCGTAGCCAGAAACGCTCTTTGCTGGAGGCGTGGAGACACCTAAAGCCAATAGATCACATGCCAAAGAGCACACAGTTAAGCATTAACAGCGAATGCCCATCACGGCGCTCCAGAAGTATGTGTACCAATAAGGGAGTAACTAAATTTGTTTGCCCATTTTACATAACGCTGTGTAAAAAGACGGAAATCTATGGGTATATTCACTTGGCTAACACACAGTCCTAAAATAAGGAAGACCTGAATAAGATTATGGCCCTAACCCGGTACACATACTACAAGAGTACCCTCAGGACAGCATTCACACGACTTGGAACTCGGTGAACTAACTGCCCCCACTCCAAATTCTGAAACAGAATAAAACTCAATGCAGGCAAATACTCAAATTTGTATTTGAAAATACAATGTATAGACATATTAGAGTTGAGCCTTGTTCGCCATTTCACGCGCACGAACTTTTTCTTGCTTTGCAATAGCAGCCATTGATTTGCTGCCCATAACTTGACCACCCCAGTGTTTTCGGATCTAAAAATGGAAAAATTTTTTGGAAAAAATATAGACCAGAACAATACAACCACTGTAAGGTACTCGTTTCGTTCACTCAGTTGTGAGAGGTTTTTGAAATGGAGAAATCAGAACCGCAATCCGTTTCGAATGTGGTTAATCAGAGGAATTAGTTAAGAGCAAAAAATATTTAGGTGTATAGATGTTCACAAAATCAAAAACTTGAATGAAACAACGCTCTTGAATTTAGAATTAGAAGCGGATCAAATTAGAGTGAGATATCAAGCTCAGAAAGTGTCAATAGGTTTCATTCAACTTAAACTCAGCTGAAGAAATTCTTTCATCATAGCTAACTTAAGGTACAAATAGGTAATATCCTTTAAATCTCATGTTTTGCTTTAGGTCATAAATCCATAATATTCCATCAAAAATACTCAGTACTGGACATACGGTATGCCAAATTGGCAATTAATGTTTTCTCAGATGTATTTTACTGTTCTAACTTAACTCCTACACACTACTGAAGATAACAAGAATACCCTGTGGCAACCGAGGCGTTAAGATATAGTTCAACTGCATGAAATTCTTTATAATAACCCTAATACTGACCTCTTCGAAACGATCGTTGTAGTTGGTCCTCACTGTATCGATGAGCTTACTCAATCCAGATTTGTCCTCGCTGTAAAGAAAAAAAGTTCCATTCAGATGGTGTATGTATTTTACAACGTACGGTTGCAACAGGCATTCACATAGTGGCCAGGATAATATATTCACCCCAATTTCAAAACGATTCGCTACTAAACAACATGTTGTACATGAACATCAGACCATATTCTATCAGTCCTCAGAGATCTTGGTGGGGAATCAACATGAAATATTCTGCTAGCAAATATTTCTGTCATCACTGGACTAAGAATATGAGAGTGTCGCCACAACAGCATTTTGCCGAAATTGCCTTTACGAAGAAATATATATTAAAGTAATACTTGGACGAACTTCACTAAACAAAGTTTGTGAGATTGTTTTTGTTTTAAATGCTAATAGATGGATGATAGGAGCTTAATTTAAACCATAGACACACAAAAGTAGGTATCAGAACAGAATTGTTTCAAGAGTAGTCTACTTTTAGCATTTCAAATGATTGATTCAGAGTAATTGAGGCTGTTACATTTTACTCGGGAATATACAAGCAAAATTCGCTATCAACTTTTATTTGCGAAATTGAATGCTATGCTACAAACAACTTGAATATGGACATCCATGATAGCAACATCCCCATAGCCCAACAAGGAATATTCTACTATCCTTGCACGGGACGTCACCGATGATGAAGAATGCAAACGAATATTGAACACAGACGAATTAGTTCATGATTATATAAGGCTTGCTCACATATCTAAATAATAACGCCACAAAACGGAAGTTATTCCAATCAATATTAAATCTTCAATAATCAATATAATATTTTACTTGTTAACATCTGTGATAGCGACACAAGTGCATGTTTTACGATGAACCAACCGTCCGAGTCTTGCTTTCCCCTTCACAATGCAATATGGAACATTCATCTTACGGCAGAGAGCGGGCAGGAAAATAACAATCTGAAACAAAACAAGTTATCAGTACAATAAAACACATTTCATGATTGTAAAATAGCGAGTACTCTTGACACAGATTATTAACAATGCATTCTGAAACCAAACTTTTGATTTGTGCAAAAAAGGGGGGTGCAATGATCTTTTACAAACTTAGAAAAATTGGACTATTGCTATGTTAAGCCAGATATTTGAATCTATTATATCTTTGGCAAAATATTGTTTTCCTCTTAAATACCACAGAATACGTAAATTTACGGGATTTTCCTCCACAATAAACCTATTTAATTTAAGTAAAAATATTTTCCAGTCATATTCCAGAATGAAATTTTTGATAAGCCACAAATGGATCAAACAGATTATTAAATCCACGTGTCCATACCTCAATGGGTTCCACATCATGTGCGATAACAACAAGTTGAGCCTTCTTTCTTTCAATCAAGTTTGTTACAGTAGCCACACCACTAGCCACAACATGTGGACGGCGAGTGGGTGTATCTGGCTTTCCTGCAGCTCTGGAAAGTACATTTTTAGACTATAATATATAGGGTATTGCAAATTTCTTTAGTTTAAATTAAACATAATTGTAAAACCTACAGCCCACGTGTTCACTTTATGACATGCCATAATTACATTTTTGTTCCGGTATAAAAAAAACACACTGCGACAGATATTGGAAGTTTATTGACAAAAAGGGTACTTGAAAGGATTGTAAGCAATTATCAGGTTGTGTAAACTGTAAACAATGATGTTAAAATTACCATATAATTCAATCATGAACCATCACCACATCAATAATACACCTCGATACTAGTGAAAAGACAAATCTACAAAATAATCAAACAAATTATTAAGTTATTTGATACCTTTCCTCTGCACGTTTCCTGAGACGTTCCTTTTTATCGTGCTTTGTTTCGGGTCTGTACTTGTTTGCCAAACGGAAGAATGCTGTTGCTGTGTTCAATATTGAAAATTGCTGCTATTTGTTTTACCAAATGCCAGAAAGGCAACCAGGCCAACAAAAAAGCAACTCATGGTATATGCTAATCAGCATACACCATGAAAACTTGCACCATTATTAAGAGGGTACAAGGGACATCATTATTAATAAAACAGACCTGAGTGAATACAAAAACACATTAGAAACAAGAAAAATATATGGTAATAAAAACCTTAACATGAACAATTGAGGCGGATTACTATAACTTCGGTTGTAGAAATAATTTTTTTTACAGGTGTTGGGAGTAAGAAAAGCTCATTACTTATCTTATCTTTCGGCTCTATACAAAAGCAATTGTCATTGGAAATACCGATCTTGATAAACAAAGCCAAATACTCCTTGGCTATATGTTCATCATTAAGAAAAGACTTTTTTATAACTTACCAGTCTGTCTATCGAGAGCTTGAGAGAATTGATTGATCGCAGGTGGAATTTTCAATCTTCTTTGCAGAACAATTTTTTGGCGCTGTAGTCTGATGTACTTCGGCCATCTTACGAATCTTGTAAGATCCCTTTTAGGCTGAATATCTTGACCTATAAAATAAAAATTGGATTTCACATAAATTTCCAGATGGCACTTCTGCTTTAAAGAGCAAAAAAATCAAGTACAACTATCAGTAAGGAAAATGTCTTATTATTTACGATGCAAGACTGCACTTTAGCCCACATTCGAAGTTAGCTTTGAAAAAAATCAATTTTCTGTGGTTGTTGCAGTGAGGCTATACAGGCAGTGGCGCAGTAAGAGGGGTTTAGAAGTTGAAACATATAAAATGGTCTTGATATAAAATAGACGATAGGTTGGGTATTGCTAATTGAAAACCGCTTGAAATTGTAAGATGAATTGTAAGCAATAGAACAGTAGAAAACGGTGCGAAACTGTGCATGTTTTGCCTTGTTTCACAATGTAAGCAAGACTGTCATGGTTTTAATGAATTGAACGGAAAAACTCTTAAAACCGACATCAGCTATAACATTACCTATTGAAAAGTTCTTTGGTCTCTTCTCGAATAAAGGATTTGTAACTTTCTTTGCAGCAGCTTTTCTAGCTAGATGCGGTGCCGGGGCGACACGCCTTCCACGAGATTTGCGTCCTTTTGGCTAAATAAAGGTGAGCATTTATAAAACAAACTGTACATTGAATATGCTTAAGTAGGGTGGTGTAGCCAGTCTGCGGAGGATTTCATTCAAACCGCTATAAAACAAAAACCAATATTTCTAACCTATTAATTTTTTCACCGTAGGTGCATTGGCACTTATTCTGCACGCTAAACTTCAAATTAACTTTCTACGACAAGATAGTAAAGCTATACAAGCCACCCAAGTATGACACATGGAAGACGTATTTGCGAACGAACGACCGGTGTGCGACCTCGGATTTCAAGCCTTGAACGTCGTTTCTGCTGCGTCGAGACTAGAGCATACGCAGCCATGCGTGAAAAAATTGGGCTTCTAATTGCATTTCTGACCATCATATATTTTAAGAACACGGTTATTTTGAACAAAACTCGTCAAATTATAAACAAAGCACCGCATCACAGCAATCAAACAGAAAAAACACTGTGGTCGCAAATTGGCCAACAAAGATATTGACCTATTGGAAATGCGCACCCCCCTATTCCCCCTCCTTTAAATGTAAAAACGCGAAACTTTAAAGATGGTTAAAAAAAACACAACTCTACCCACCTGCCAAGTTTATTTTTTTTATCTCTTATATTTCTATGAATTTTCAAGCTTTCCTACAGGGACAATAGGTAGTTGGGAACATGAAAAAATGTTACATTTTTTTCTTCGACCGGGTTTTCGGTCGCATCTTCGTTGTTTGTGGCCGCATTTAAGTGTAATTTCGCAGAGCTACAAGGGATAAGTGGACGATAACGCAAGTGCAGTTTTAAGTATTCTGTGGCATCTGCCGCAAAACCATGTCGGTATTTTCATACCATGGCCGCTACGGCCAAACTCATGGCAACTGACTTTTTAGCTGCCACAAACCAATGTCGAGCTGCCGTTACCGCGGCAGCAAATTGAAAACCAATGGCAGGTAAAATTTTGCTGCCGTAACCGCGGCAGGTGGGCCGTAAAGACAGGGCTGTCTATTATGGTGACAAATATTGGGTAAGTTGGAACGTTTTTCTTATGGATACAGTTTTGATTGATTTGGGGTTAGGGTTTAAGTAGATATAATTCCACATGATCAATTAAAATCTGGTACATTAATTTGTGAATATACCGTTAATACTGATTACTGAATAGCGCTATAAAACCATGGCAAGAGCTAGCGCTGTTCGTTCGTGGCAGGAGCTGCCATGAAGTGGTAAGAACTGCGCCTCCGATAACGTGTGAGAAGTATCGCCGCAATTCGCTAATTTTTTAAATCGATGAAGTTGCCACCCAGTTAGAGGTTTTGGCCGATGAAAAATGAAGACATTTGGCATAAATTATGCGACCATTCCCTATTTTTCATGAAATGTAGGGGGAATATTCAAATTATAATATGCAGACCAGTACATTAATAACTGCAGCCGCGTGAGTAAATTTAAAAAAAAATGTTTGCTTTTGCAACCAGTAGGAAAGTATGACAGAAGTCCGATTTAGAGCATCAATGAATACAGCAAAACGATAAGCTATTACTTTATAAGTTCAGCTCAAACTACAGCCTTGTGTCATCGACTACACAATACTGCAAAAGGTTCGAGAAACGAAGGACATTCTCAAAATCAAAAAAACTGTGCCGTACTAAATGTTAGTTTTACTGATGTTATAGGCTCGATACGAAAGGTTTGCGAAATTTATTAATAATATTAGAGACTGAAGGAAATGTTGTTGTATTAAATACGAAATGGGAGATGCATATGAGCACGATTAAATAAGGTAAAAAATCAGTACAAACCATTCCGACAGTCTTCTCGAATAAAAAGACTGTGACATGTTTCGTGACGGATGAGTGGGTTTCTGAACAGCGCCATCTTCTGACAAAATGTCACTTTACGAAACTGATATTTGTTTTCCGAGCATCAATTTCCTTGTTTATTTTCCAGAAAAATGACCAATCAGCAAAAAGTTAACAATTACGTAACAATTGTAATATTTTGCAGCCGCTCAGACACTCAATTTGGACAGATGGCCCTATTTCCCAGTTTTGGCGGTTTGGCGTGTTACTTGTCAGTTTTCAATTGTGTGTCCAAAAATAAGTTGTAAATAAATAATTTTAATTGTTATTATATCTTACGATAAAGTTTAGTTGCAATGATCAAAATTAGTCCTGGAAAAGATGCGATGGATTAGGCTAAAATAGAATAGGCTAGTAGTGCCTGTAAGCGACACGAGGTTACATATTTTAATGAAAATAATAGGAATGAGACGTCTCCAACATTACAGAGATTCGACGAATCTCGAACCGAATCTTCCAGGTCCGCGACATCACAATAGAATAGCAGTGAAACACGATTTTGACCATTCTACATCATTGTACGCTCACAAACATACGTCGTAGCTCATATTTGTTGCCTAATGGTTCCGGAGGTAGCTGTTGAATCATCTTAGAAATATATCTTTTCTTTTTAGCGAACATAATACAAACGTAAACGTGGGTCAATGTGCGGCTATTTAGAAATTCTTACATGTCAATATGAAAAATAAAAAAGCTTTTGCCTACAATGCTTCTACATAATTCCAGCCGCAAACTTACTATGTCGCGTGCGCAAATGGTAGAGAGATGCCACTCGTCAGTACAATGTGGTACATCAGCTTGCAATTTAGTAGATCATGTAAAAGTTCTAAAACTCTCCATGCTTTCCATTGCTCCCTTTTTAGAGAAAAAATGTACGTAATAAATTCTATAAGATATATAGATAAAATTTTCCTTTGGGTTGATCCAGACCCAGAGCATGTTTCATTTTTACGCGAATCGAAAACTCAAAAATACATATATATATACTGTATTTTATTATTCACATGTATACCAATAGAAGAATAGATAGTTTTGAGGCGACTGGTGGCGACATCATTGTTATAAGCGATCAATAGTTTTCAACATGCGATATATTTTCTGGATATCTGTCGTCGTTTTTATCAAGAGTGTTTATAATACACACGAGGGATATTCTTACAGATCTAACCTTGAATTTTAACGAGTCAGGGTATGTACTGAGATTTATATAGAGGTAAAAGTACAAACATAGGCGGAAATTAGGAAAAACAAAATTTATTATAAACTCGGTAAAAATGACGTGGACTCGAAATCGAATCCGAGTCCAGAAAATGCGTAGATTCGACTCGAATCCGAGTCCGGATCCGAATCTCGGCCCATTCCTAGAAAATAATGATTTTGAGCATGTAAATCAGTTTGTAGCCTAAGTGTCAACTCTCCAAAAAACTTGCAAAATGAGCATCCTAAATTTTGCGATAGTAAAGTATAAGGAGAATTTTTCTGGGGTGAAGCGCCGGAGAAACATCCATCGGAAAATAGAAGTTGTTTTCAATTGTAGCGACTAGCAGCTTTCTTTTTTTATCTGACGCAAAGTGCTCATATGTATGCTGTTAGGTGAAGAATCGTTTTCTTCACAGCTAATGGACCAATCGAATTCAGATTTTCATTGAGATGTGAAAAGAAATTTTTGAAGATTTTCTCTCGTCCTTATGTGACCCGATATTACACCCGAAGTATGTATATGAACACTTTTTACATTCATTTTTTACACTTACATAGTAACTCTTGATAATTTCATGTTCCGATTTTTGATAAGAAGCCACCATTCACAGCCTAAGCAATATTATGTACAGGGATCAAATGAATTTGGAAACTTGATAGTTGTGTTATTGTATATCAATATTGGTTATAAAAAAATCAAATAGCTGCAGATGAGTGTGTTCGATGTTTCTAATTAAATATTGAATTTCTGATCAGAGGCTTACCTAAAATTATCTGTTGACTATATTAAATATGTTTTTTTAATTCAGGTATCCAAAAGATTTGTTAGCTAACATTATATAATAATGACTAACGTATATTTGCTTTGTAATATAGTAATATATATATGTGCCGTGGTGTTTTGTAATTAATTGGGTAACCATCTTTGACCAGCCGATGGTGACTGTTATTTCACTTAGCTAAATTAAGTGTTTCGATATTGTGAATAATGTTTGCCTGTTCCAGAGTGCTCATTCTGATAGAAACTTCCCTTAGGAGTCGGTCGGCCTCTTTGACCGACCCTAAAAACTCGCTGCCCCTGCGTTTATATTTTATAATTTATTGTGTTTGTTTAATACAATGTGTAGGCGGCTACTTTAACGATATTTGGAAATAAAATACCGGAGCTGCGTTTGGTCATCACACCTTTGTGTCCAGATCAACTGACAATCAGCAAAAAGTTAACAGTGACTTCCAAAGTTATTCAGCATCTCAGGCAGTGGAAAATAGTTTTCAGATATGATTCTGAACATTGACTCATTTATAGATTGAAAGATGCGAACCGATTTGCCCAAATACTCAAAACTGACATCAAAATTTTCTATTATTAAAATAATTTTCTAGAGTCAAAAGCCGATAAAACCCACCGGTATAATGTAAATTGATTTCAAGCTGTTTTTCAAATTAGTTGATGTGACGTGCACTCAAAAATCCCGGTCCGTTATATTGACATCATAGGCCAATTAAATCGTTTTTCCAAGTATTTAGAGTTATTGAGTAACTTTGTCTGGAGTTTTTTTATAGGACGTTTTCACACTTTCGATCCGGACAAGGCGCCGTAGAAGCAGCCATTGATGATAAGTAAAGAGGTATTTTTTTGGAAGTGACAGAGTCTTCCCGGTTCCTCATTTCTTCCCCATTTCTCAATTTGCATACTGACTGATTTAGTGGACATAGGGTTCAAAGTGTTTCGAAGATCGGCGATAAATTAGTTTTAGCTTGACAATCCAAATATTCTGATTTAATGTGATATGATAACTCACGTACCGAAATGGATGGTCTTCAACTATAGCTGAAAATCGTTTCGTAAGTAAAGAAATCATCCTATGTCGCAATTGAGCTGAGCGTTTATTTATTTCAAATATGTGAGAATTTTCCTGGGCAAAAAGTGGTACACCTAAGTCCCAGACGTTATGGCGTAAGGTAATCTTATCTTTCAATTGCACTTACTCTAACGGGAATCACTCGGATGAAGTTGATCCGAGCAGTGGGTAAACAATTCGTATGAGAAATTCTAAACATATGAAATTTTGACAAAACTTTATGAAAAAACATGGGAAAAAATACCGAACGTGTTTATAATTGTAACTGATAAAATAGCTTTTATGGGCATTTGAAAGAATTTGGACAATAATTTCGACAATTTCTCGTGTGCCGTTCCCACCGCTTCGTAATCTTGCGCCAATTTCAGTACTCCATTCTATATAATACCAATCAAAACAAATTTCCCTTAATTTTTACATAATATGATTTTAAACTATGACTGGAATTTAATTTATTGTACAGATCGTAATAATTCTTTCTAATCAATTTATATTACTTTTTCTTCCAAGTCGAAAGTATGGTAGCTATAAATATGTTACACAATTTTAGATAAGAAAACATTATTGAACACAAGTCTCATAGGAAGATAAAAACGGAAGTTGTTCAACCTCCGATATAATGGTGGATGCAATTTAATTGCGAGCCTGTATTCGTTCAATTCCGGCGATCTTTATACTCCGTTCGCTAATCTTGCTACCTATACGCTATGTTACAATATACCTGTACGTATCCAGAGAGCGCGGATATACAGCATACCGTTTCCGTTCTCTACGCAATATTGTATTGTGCGACGAAGCTCCGAAGATTTGACTACTAATGGGACAAAGAACCATAAAAGCGAGGACATGTTATATCTAATTTATTACCAGGTGGGTTTTCACTGAATTAGAAGAAGCCGGTACAGCATCGTCTCTGCGGCTGATTTGCAAATATGCAATTGCTGCAAACAGAATATATACGGCAATTAGAAAATAACAAAATGGTTGAGTATTTTAGTCACCTTTTTTTAGATTTGAATAGCTTTGAGGCAGCTTAGTTGTAATTGTTTTTAATCCCACAATTTGTGTAAAAAAAAAGATACGCCTACTCTAAAATAAGGACAAAAAGATAATTGACTTATGCTGAAATTCACCCATTTTGCGTTTTAACAGTTTATTTAAATGTTGGTGATGATTAGTACACTGAGCATGAGCAATCGAGGTTCCGGTCAAGCTAGCTGAACACATCGAGCGGATAAAATTCAGTCATCGTCCGGAGGAAGGCCAGATCGTTGGTGATCAACTCTATTACTGGAATTTGTGAATATTATGCCGGTAGGAATATTATCTGACTAATCAAAAAAAAGTTTTGCACGTAGAGGAAAACGAAGAATCATGACTTACTATCGTCCTATTTACGATCGTAAGTACAATTATAGCATTACTAACTACGATAATAATAGAATATGAATTGATGTGACGTAATAGTCATTTGTGTGATAATCGTGATAATCTTAGACTATTATTCAGCTGAAAATGTGTAATCCAAGTCGAACGTTAATCAGAAATCACTCTGGATATCCTACATTTGAAATGGATATACGTGGAATGATTTTAGTATTGTAATTTAAGCCAAACGAGGCGCAGGTATTTATTTTGCAACAGTTTGTCGATGCGGTGGGCCCCATACTCTTTCATAGCTGTGGGGTATACAGTGTCATTAATTAGCATTACGTTAGATTAAAAATGCGAAATTTAATAAATTTTACGCGTAAAATTATCCGAATCTTAAGAGCTAGAGTGGAGCTTGTGCCCTGTGTTATAGTAATCTTCAGGTATAAATGTGTTAATCTCTGGCATACAGTAAATGGCCACGGTTTAATAAAGTATAGTCTACTTGAGAGACAGAACTATATTCCCAAAAATGATTTGGTTGCAAGACTGCCTATTTAAATTTGCAATTTATTTGTTACATTTTAAAAAGAATCATCGTTTTTTTGTAATTATACAATAATGAGAATTATACTCTCCCCATAAGTATGGTGGACTGTCCATGTTCATTCTGGTGTTTATTTAGATGTGTCCATATGTCACTGTCACTGATAGGGAAATAGCAATCTTATATGAATAAACCCGTGTTTCTTAGTATAAGTATATTCGTAAGTATATTCGTGACCTGTAAAATGATATCCTCCTACAGCGGCAATTATCGTAAGTTGCATACATATATGCATATAGTAATCAAAACAGGTCAATTATAGAGCTTCATATTAAATTTATGTTGGGTTTCAATGTCTAGACCAGGTTTCATACTTGAAATATTTCTGAATATATCCTATAAACAATTAAAAAATCTATTTTTTTTTTGTATTTTATGAGGTTATTAAAAATGTAATGCAGGACAAACAGTTGGTGTTCTGTGTGTAGGTTTGAAAAGCGAAGGCTAATGTTGATGGACTTTATGCCTATCAAATCTATTTTAATTCCTCATTGTGCTTCATTCTTGAATGCTTTTTGACTCACTTTTAATAATATATAACTAATAATTATATTCGACAATAAATTAAAAGTCAGTTTAAATTCAAGAATCCTCCTATTGAATCAACTTGCAAGAGAGTCAAAATACCAAACATGTAAAAAACGTATTTTTGTAAGATATATATATACTCTTTTCAGTGAAGGCGCAGGATTAAACGATTTTGAGTGGAAACAATTTAGTCCAAAACTTGTCACGTAACACTGAAGCTGAAATTTCCCAGTACATACGTATTTACCAGTTTTTCATATAGACAGGGTGGCCAAAATGAAAATGGAACCCATACAATATGTTCTAAATGGCTCGGGTTCCGTTTTTTGGGTCACCTTTAGATTCCCTGTAACTGCTAGTTTTAAAATAAGTTGAATATGTTGTGTTATAAAATTATATAGGTTATCACATAAGCACAAAGTAATAAGCTCCCACAGTACATTATCATATCTCATCTAGATCAGTAAACGGTAACGAACACACCGGATATGCCTGATGAATAATCGACAATGATATCACGTGTTTAGATTTGTTGTTCCGGTTCCCAGTCGAGTAGATAGATTCGATCAAGCAAATGGAATATATAAACCTAGACTGAACAAGTTTAATTTATACATTATTTTTCTTTGGCCATTTGTACTTAATAAATTATTGCAAAATAGTTCAAACACTGGCCCACACCTATCCGGCAGTTGAAAACATCAGCCAAACGAAAGCACCAGTCGCCATATGATTCACTCTTTATGTTGTTCTATTTTCAAAACGAGATTACAATGTCAAATCGATCAACAATTATTTTTTGTTGATGTAATATTGCTCAACATAAAATTTTACACGTTAAAGCAAAATTGCCTGAAGCACTTTCTTAACCCGTCTACTGGAAACCTTGTGTCGAAACTTTCACCACTATGTGGCGGCAGTGAGTAAAAATGCATTCCGAGATTACGTCATAATCATTGTCCAGATATTATTTTCAGAAATGGTTTAAATTAACTAAATAGATACGTCATTTCTCATATTCTTTTATTCATCATCACATATAAATAAGCTGTACGTTCTCGTTCCATAATAATTTTCGTTGAATAATGTGTAGTTCTAAATAGATTCTTTTTACAAAGTAACCATGAAATGAATGATGAAAAGTATTAAATAAATTGCTTGCTACTTGGTTTCGTGATCATACATCGTCTGTTGTCTTTGTAAATCTTAAAATAAGACTCCCAGAAGGAGATTGATTCTTCGCACTATTTTTGGCAGAAGAGAATTTACAGAATTCTAGTACAGTAGATGTATACCGATACTTGTCGATATAAAAAAAAATTAAACCAATGGGAATCTAGGGCATTGATCCGCTGATAACAAAATGACCCATTTGTTTTTTTCGGTGACTCTTCAAGTCACGAATAAATTTCAAAAAACGCTGAGTAAATATGTACGACCCACAGTCTTGTTTTCCACGTAAAAATAATATTTTTACTCAATCGTCAAAAAAAGTTCGACATGTCTGTTCAAATGCCTGTGTTGTACGAAAACATTTCATTTGATTACAGAACGATAATCCAAAAAATGCAAATGTCGCAAATGTAAAAAGAAGAGATAAGTTGCATCCCCAAAAAGTTTTCGTGGTATAGGTTTTAAATTCCCTGTCAAAAATATGATACTGAGGTAAGAGAAAAAACTAATTTTGAACCGACACAAAAATCGGTACCTCCGTAGTATGTGACCCAAGATGGCGGACACCGGAACGTAGTATGTGTACCAGGTTAGGCCATTATTTCAGGTAAATACTACGGAAGTTACTTGGCTAGTCCCTGAACTCGTATTAGAACTAAAATAAGGAAAATTGGAATGAAATTATGGCCTAACCCTAATCTGGTACACATACTACGTTCCGGTGTCCGCCATCTTGATTCGCATACTACAGGAGTACCCAAAAATCAATAAAATTATGTACGTATGAGCAAAATGCATTATTATTTGCATTAAATTTTGGGAAACTCGTCTGTGTCTTCGGCGAGCAATGAACGATGATGGTGCGTTTGCAAAGCTGCAGCGAACAGTTTATAGTCAAGTTTGAAATTGATTCCGTGTCGTCATTGTATTGAAATGACATCATCAATTTGAAGACCCCTCCAAAATGTAATGTTGGGGAACTTACCGCGATTATACATTTTGCAATTTAACAATGTATGTCGTCGAAAACTGGGTACTTCCCCTTGTATCAGACTCGAAAACATGATTTGTCATAATCGAACTAGATTAAGCCGGTTCCGGATAAACAACTCCAACATTACTACGCAAACATTACATCCATTTTTTATTGGCTTCATTTTGTTAATTGTAACCATGTTGATGCTTGGTAATATGAAATTTTTCGAGATTATGCTATTTTGTCTATCGTTCGCGCTTAGTCAACGGAGACCTTCGACAAATAAAATGGTACATGTGTTTGTTATAGAGTAGGCGTGAAATTATTCGATGAGTCAAAACTAACTAGCGTAATTCCCCTACGCTTCATAAAATCGCGGTTATTTCACATGCATTTTACAGTAAATTAAGTAGCTTAATAGCTACGGTCCAAAAGTAATAATGTAAAATGATATTATTTATGGTTCTTTATTCTGGAATTAATTTTTATCATGAAATGACAAGAAAAAATTATTAATATTTTTAGTTTTTTTTCACATTGTGAGTATGTTTGTTTTCAGGAGAGATGGTCGGTGATTCATCTCAGAAATATTTGCAAAAAATATGCCGGCCGGCATTATGTCTTTATTGTATTCGTATTTAAAGAGATTTGGGACAAGTTGACATAATTGAGTATTATAGTGCCTGCGTCCAAACAAATATGTTTAGATAATAGCTGGCGAAACTGCGGTTATCTGCGTGGTAAATCCCCGGATTATATAGTGCCCGTCTGAAGCAGTCCAGGCCAGACATTTGCAATCAATATACACCGGAATTGTGATGCAATCTTTGTTTGATGAAGACGCGGCGAGACAGGAGAATATTTTGTCATACTTTTATTCGGAAATAAAATACTGTTTCAATCGCTCATTTGGACATGATGTGGTCATATCATTTACATTAAATATTGGACCAATTGCGTGAAGCCTGTACAAGCAGGATATATTACATTTCCCAAATTCCCGCGCAGCACCTTCCCGATTTTAGTGATGGGTTTTCCAATAACCGATTCTATTAAACGAATGATAAACAACGCGGTATACATATAATTGAGAATTGCTCTTTTGATTAATTTAAGATTAAATTTTCATTTATTTTGCCAAATATTGATATAAATTTTAAATTCCACCACATTTTATCAAGAAAATGACGAATTTTGGTTGTTCCCGAATATGAGTATTTTTTAAATTTTATTTGCAAACGATTCGGTGTTTTTACTACAAATTTCTATGACAAACTTACTCCAAAAGGTTGTGTGTGCAAAAATCATAACCCGCAATCGACAAAATCTAATTTAATTAGTCTTGTTTGGAAATTCTCTGAAGAATATAATATTAAAGTAGATGAACTGATCGCCCTCTTATGGAATTCGTTCTGGAATTCTCCCAAAACAAAATTTTTTAAGGTATATGTAAGGCGTGGGACACATGAATCATTTTTTCGAAGTATGTTATTGCGTTACAGCGGATGCTGAATTTCAGTACCTAATAAAATGATTGACCATTTTAACATTCCTTGGCAAACTCGGGCCATTAGGATCATTTTTAGCGAATGAGACATATGTTTTCGAGTGCCTATTAGTTAGAACGTCGGGCCTCCAGCTATATTCACGTGGTTGTCAAAATTCAAGGAATCAAACTTATTTCTTGGATACCTTTCATCGTAGATATGATATGCTTTAATGCATTTGCTGGCCATACGCCATTGTGTTGAATGTCATTGACTGGACTCTATTGCACTTAGTCCGTAATTAGTTGTTTTCAAATCTTGCACAACTCTACCTCGCAACTGAGGTCCCCTATCTTCTCGAATGATACAGTAAAACTTGTTTTCGTGCTGAAATAAAAAAGTGATAGTATAATCATTGTAAAAATATGCTTAAACTTTACTATTATTCATCGTGAGTGAATCACAAACGAGGTGCTATTGCCGGCACGTTTCATCCAATATCGTTCTTTCCGATCTATTTAAACATTTTAGTGAGAAGAAATGATCACTTACTGCTATGAATTCTGTACTGGCTGCGTTTCTTCTCGTAAAGAATCTAAACAGACTCACGAATTCCGGCACAACTTGTTGGGGAACAGTATTATAGCTTGAAGCGTTACATCAACGAATCCTTAACCGTCGTATAAGCTTTCTATCGCAAACTTTGTATATGGCTGGTATGGTAACTAATTGTACATACCAAATTATGGCTTACATTAATGTCGGCAAAAAATGGTGATTTTGACTGCAAAATGTTTCCAACCTCGTACGTTATACGCGCCTTCAACTACCTTTTGAGATAATAACTCTTATGATAAAGGTCAATATACTGTACCCGTATTGAGTAACCTGCAAAGCTGCGATAACTAATGACCTAGATGCCATATGAGGATTATGCATTGACAATGTTTTGTCACTTAATTCATTGCTTTTCTAGGAAACGGCCACTACAGGCACCTAACACAAAGGCAATTTTTGCTTGAGGGCATAACTTTACCCTTTACAATCATACTAACGATGACGCGTTTGGTTGTTAAACAGATACATAAATTGAAAAATTTTCGTTACAATTTCTATTTTGTTGTTGTCAAGATGTTTTTACTTGATAACCTCAACGTTTTTCACCAGTCTGTCATGCGGTATTGTCTTAAAAACTTGGTTTCATTGTAAATGTCAACGAACGCCTTTGTCTACCACCGTATTTTCGTTGTTATTTTCGATACACAAATTTTAGACTTTGACATTCAAATGTTTGGGCTTCAATTTTTCCTGTTTCGATTCGTCAGAATTTTACGAAGAACCTCACGTAAAAAATTCCCTTATAAACGAAAGACACGCTTCTCACGTTCATCCACTTTCAGACAGAGACGTTACGGGTGAGATAGCCTACTGTGGTGATCGTGCGTCAAATCGAATAATAGAGACTGTTTAAAAGATACGAGAGTTTCTATGTGTATTTTTCAGACATTCAGAACCCGGTGAATACCTGTAACGCCGCATCGTTAGCAGGACTATGCTTCAGTGCACGAAACTGATTCTCAACGAATATATATTTTTTTATCCTAAAATACGAAAATAACCGCACGTTGAAATGCGCGTGGGTTTTCTCCTGAGCAATAATTGGGTTACTGGAAACGGTTGACCCATTTAGAATATTTTGGGTTTGGAATGTTTCGCTGCGTAAGTGGGATTACCGATCGAAAACGTGAGCACGCACTAATTCCAGTTTCGATTACCCCCTCCCAAATATTTTGGGTGTATATCTATCTACCTGCATGCCCAATGTTAACTTTATTATAATTAATATTAAATAATGCAATGTTTTGTGATTTTGATTTAATTAAGCCTATATGCAGGATCGTACAGCAACAAAAAAAAACTTTGGTAATTTTTCGTAAATACTGAAATAAAATGGGAGGGAATCAAGCCACTTTATTTCAATTGTTTTTTCGTAGTCAAAATATGACATTATTTGAAATGTTTGTTATTTGACTTCTTTCTATGACGAAATGTGTTATTTTGAATACTCTATAATTCTTTTATACAAATTTCTTAAAGTGCTTTTCCTCGTACATCTAATTCACGTGAGTTCATTGAGTGAGTCTCCTTTGAACGATATGAAGTTCTATTCTGGCACTTTGTCCTCACGAGACCCAGACGTCCGTGACGTCACTACGCAAACACCTTTTGTTAAGTCGCGTGAATATAGTTACCGTTGCTTCGCATTTGTATTTATGCTTTGTTGAGAAGCGAATCTGCATTGTTACTGTGTACAGTGCACACTGTTGTAAAAATGTAAAATCACGAATATTAGAATGAGTTTGTCAATAACATGTTGGTGATAGGATTAACGTAAAATGTGGATTTCGAAAATCCTTGAAAGCGCCAGATTTTAAGTCGCACATATCACAATTTTTACCGTTTCATCAACTGCGCCACTAACATAGTGTTGTTATTAAAAACGTGATTCTTACGTGTGTAGCAGTACACATCTAGGATATCTGGCAAGTCACCTGAATAGACCTTTATGTCGTATATAACTTATGTTCTAAAAATAGCTTCCGATACATATTTCTAGTGCAAAATATTTACCTTCAGTTGTGTTATGTCTACCTGTAAATATTGCTACCATGAGATACATATATTTTGATTCTTGTTTTATTTGTGTTTATGAGATACAGAGCACATACTCTGTGTAATCTTCCATTTTCTATAGCTCAGCAAATAAATAAAATATATTAAAAAGGAAATGTTCTAAAAATAGAAGTAAATATTTTCAGTCTATTTTTATTGTGTAGAAATATTTACTTTTTCGATAATTCGACGTGACTAAGCTATCTCCATGAATGTCATCAGGAAAATTTCCTTTGTTATGTCACAGAGAATAGCATGTGTAATAATAAATATTTATTGCTTGAAAATTCCAGTGATCGGAATAATTGCTGAATCGTTTGCGACAGCAAAATTAGTAAAACCAGGGGTGTCAAACTCGCAGGACTTTTGGGGCTACATTGAATATTGGTAATTGTGCCCAGTGGCGCATTCAAATTTCGAACTATTTTCATAATTTGTATTTATAGCATATTTTTGTTAGGTATCGTTTGCGACATAATTTCTACGCAATTTATGATTCGGACGAGGTATTGTTATTAAATGACCCACATGGCATTTTTTATGCATTTAAATATATTTCAATGCACTGTATTTGTTACAAAAAAATCATAAATCATATATACTATACAGTTATTCGAAAAAAATATCTATAAATAAAAATATACTTGGTCCTAGATACATAGACCTAAAATTAACGAAAATGCAGCATAAACATTATGTTGTCTGGCCTTTTGTAAGTAACAAATAAGTCTGTTAGATTTATAGTCCCATGCAGATTAGAAAATAGTGCAAAAAATCTATTATTAAACATAATATGCTGTATTCAATTCTGTTACAATGTTACATTCTCATTGTGCTGTAGCTCTAAAATTCAAAATATATTCTAATGATTATTGTTATAAGAACTGCAGCATTTGTCGTTTTCATCACACACTTGTGGTTTAAGAAATTCGTGATAAACTGGTGTTTACCACACCAAAGTATAGGTTAGCATCACGGTTTGAAGAACTCACTCCATGCCCCGTAGCCAAGTCGTCGGTGCAACATTAGGCAGACTACGCCTTACATTTATATGTCTGCTTGCATCGGTTTGTTTAATCATCATTATGATCACCTAATATCAATTATGATCACCTAATATCAATTGTCAGTTTATGAATACATCTTAGAAAATTACAAATGTACCACAACCTACTTTTTAAGGTTATTTTAATTCGGAGTGTTTGTAGCCACACAGTGGTGGGGTACAGTTGACATATGTATGGTGCAACTATCTAAGTTTCGACCCTAGATTTCCTATTTTTGTGGAACTGGTAACATGCAGTTTGATTAAAGTTTATGTATTCGGATGTTTTCAATCAAATAATGAGGTGTTGCGACATCCATATCAGAATAATTTCAACTCATCTTCTATAAAATTACGTTTTAGTAATTTCTCCTCGAGGTGCTTATGGATAAAGAGTATTATAATTCGAGTGTCAGCTACCTCTGTTGCATAACACATGGGTCTATGCCTTAGACAAAACACGTACGCAACAGCAGGGCCATAAAAAGAAACTCAATTGCGCGGCAATCGCTGCGATATTTGTTTAAGGCCTTAGGTACACATGAACATAAGGGTATGCAGAAACGCGATATCCAAACATAGACCTCTTTTGTTGGAACAATGCCGGCATTTCGGCCTATAGTCCATAGTTTAACGATACTTTCTTCTTTTTGACGCAGCTCGTGACGAAGCATATCTCGCTGCACGGACGAATGCGCATGAATTTGTGAGAGAGACCCACGTCAGAGCGGCTACTATTGTGCCCAGTTACACCCGATTTGCGATGGCAAGAGGTTAGTCAATATTTGCTTATTTCTCTAAGATAGCTCAAACCAGAAATACCTCGCACCTAGACGGCATTGAATGCCTAAATTTACAAGCACACGTGCACGAACGAATTATCCAGCACCAGATAATATGTGCCAGTTATCGATTTCGTGAAAGTCTTTAGGTATTTAATGACGTCAAATTGAAATCAGCCGTATTAGAGGGGGAATGGCCAAGAAGCCTTTCGCTTGACAATCTACGACGAAGTGGGGTACCCCAAATACGTGGGCCGCAAGTACTTGTCGCTTCTATTATCACTGACAACAAATTGCATAGAGTTGTTGAAACAATATTCCACAAATATTCGTTAGCTATTGGCGGCTGCACGACACACCGTTATATTTTTTTATCTAAATTCCAGTAACCTAGTTCTCAAATGCGTGTGGTAAAGCTAAACATTTGTTAAAATAAAGTATGACTGTTTCGCCATAACGAATACTAATACTCCCTTCATTTTTGCACATGGATATAGGCCACACTAGGAGCGTTTTCAATATATTCATTTCATGAATAAGTGCAAACTTATTTAGCTATTATGGGTAAAATACTAAAATCAAATTGTCAAATACAGTAAGCCTACATATCACAAGTTTACAAATCACAAAAAATTTATTCTGTCTGTTGAAAGAGAGCAATTGTTTTAACCAATTTCGAAAGAAAAAATCCATTTGATACTTTCACAAAAGTACAGCGAGTGATTAATAACTTAATAACTGACTCTTTAATAACTTTTGGAAGTAAATTTGTTTCGTACCAGGTATTTTTATGATCAGTTGCATCCAAGTTCATAGGATTAATCCATTTGTCATAGTCAGTGATATATATATATATATATATGCAAAGTGGAATGAGACGAACTGCTGGTTGAATGTACCGCGTTTGCTTCCTTTCAGTTCATGCACTCGGTTGACATTACATCACTATATTCAAAAATGTAGTTGTCTTTTCATGCTAAATCGTAAAGATGTCGTCTGATACCATAAATATACCAGTATAAGTCTTTGTTCGAAATCGAGACTTAGCAGCAGTTCTGATCTTAGAACATGCTGATCGAAACTTAATTTAGTTTCTAAGATTTTACCTCGACTTGTTTTTGTGCACAACATCAAATCTAATAAAAACAAGGAATGAGAAACTTGACCTTAAATTTTGTCTCAAATCATGATCTGAAATTTTATATTTTCGATTCTTATTTTTGTCCGGTAATGGATCATGCTCGATTTTCTTGTGTCACGTTCACAATGTTTAAAAGTTGATATAAAAAAAAATTACGTAAACTTGAAATTGATGAAAAACAACTTTTTGAGTACGGTAAAGACCTCGGTTTTTCGTCATTTCAATATATTCATCACAATAGTTCTAAATTCTATAAAAAAATCTCCCTATTGCGGAAAATTCGCGACTTATTCTACTGACGGCTTTATATGGCATTTAAAATTGAGAATTCACGTCAATCGACGAACTTTGTACGTAATTTGAATCAGATACGGCGTTTTTTGCCTGAGGCAGCAGCTGAGGCCTATTTGTAGTTGTTAACAAAAAGCCAAGAATAACTCCTTTTCACGATATGTGAAAATAAACGGCTGTTCTTCGTCAGAATGTGGCGAGTGGGAATTTTTTCACGAGCGAAAATTGCAAGCGTTTTCAAGGAAACATTGCGTTGTTCACTCCACTGAAGGATATTTTGGGGCATAAAAAAACTATTGGTTATTTTCATACTGACTACAGACTTAAAACGGGTGCAATGTTAATAATCATATTCTAAGAGAATGGCCATGGGATTTATTTCCGATAATATATATATATGCAATCGGAAAATCAAAATCAGCATAAATTCAGCCTGATTCTCTGCTTTTCCGAATTCAGTAAATAGAATTTGCAGAGTTCAATATTTCAGTAGGTTCTGTCACTTTTGCAGATTCAAAAAACAAATATTTTCTTTGACAACCAGTTTAGGTTGTAGAAAGCACATTAAAATAAGCCTTTCGATTATTATATATACAATTGAGGATGCTAACTCAGTTTGATATGATTATAGAAATTAAAAAGTAATGGCATTTTAAGTATTCACGAATTTATTTTTAAAGCTTCCACTACTCGAAATCTATTTTTGTCGCACCCAAGTAGTTTTGTAACTCAAATTTTCAATTCCATGAAATGTCATTTAGAATATTAGATATCGAAACTTATTAATTTGACAATTAGAAATTCCAGTGTAAGCGTGAGGTTCTGCCAGTGCGTTCCAGGTTACGGTTGGCCATCCTGGGCATAGGTAACCATTGGCCCCACTACACATTATGTTTTGTATGGTTTTACATAGACTTTTGTGATGAATCGCGCCATACGAGATGGAGCGATAATTCGAAGAATAGAAAATACGCTACATAGTAGTTAAAACATATGATGCGTGCGAACGTTAGGTAGGTTGTTACTATTTTTTTCAGCAGATTATATAACAATGAGGACGGGAGCCTCCAGGGACGATCGTTTAAAATAGGACGGTGTATATTTTTAGAATTTCAGATCACATCTTTTAGGATGTTCACTTTTTGAAATCATATTTTATCCTATCGATTGGCTACCTTTTATGCCTTGGTGAAACAATATGCAGTGCAGCTTTCGCAGTTCTGATTATTCTTTCCATACAGCAGAAATATCCGCAAAAATGCTAAAATACGTGTATTCGTGATTGCATGGGTTCCAGCTAATTATCACGCTCCTGGATCTGAATCTCGGATTAATTTCGTTTTGACGACACTTCATTTACGTGCGTAAGTTTACAAATAATGATTGAGACAGTTTCTATACCCAAAAACTGCATGTGGAAATTTAATTTTTTCGGATACGAGAAATTGGAAGTACAAACCTTCATCAACGACCAGCAAATTAGTGAACGACCAGTTCCGGTCTGAAAAACAAAACACGATGTGATGTCTTTTTGAAATTTCGGTTTTGAACAATAGGTAAGAATTGTCACGTGGACCTAGATGACGTCGTCATGAGTGAGAGTGTTCGTTTCGGCACTTTCTGGAAAAGGGAAATGAGGAAGCAATTCTGAGCACAGCAATTATTTTGTTTGAGGGGTCAAAGGCCATCAATGTATAAGAACGGGGTACCTGTCTATTCTTAAATTTGCCGTCTATTTACCTCATCTCAATTGCGTTAGGCATAGGTTAATAAAGAACTCGAAACAACAACCCTGATTCATAGTGAACTCTTGTGTATCGAATTTTTGTAAATATTTTGATTTCTTGCTGAATCTTCGACAAACATATTTATTTTTTAAAGTGCATAATTTGGATTTGGGCGATGTGGATTTCGATTATGTGGAATCAGAATTAGAAGGTTATTTTACGTGTCGAAAACAATCGGCAGAACTGTTTTTCAAAAGTCCATGTTTGTCAGATTTGTTGTTGATTCAAATTTTCGTCACAAGTTATCATTGAAGACTTAATTTCGTTGGTAGCGATCCGCTAATACCAAAATTGATGCGTTCTCTACTATCAACTTGACGTATAATCCAACGCATAACGTCTTTGTTGACGTTGCGTGGCCTCCGGGTAGATGAAACAGTTCGAGTTTGACATGTAGAGAGATAAACTTGTCAATGAGTTATCGCAATAGCTTCAAACCTCGGACAGGTTGTGAACTATTTTAGTACGCCAATTTGACATAATAATACGTTTACATATTGTAATCGTGTTCTTGCGCTTTCTTCAGATTTGTAAATAAATTTTCTACGTCAAACCAACAACACTGTAAACTAATGTTAACAACAATTTTCAGTATGTAATTGTTTCAAAATCATTTTTACATAATGAAGTTTGTCTATACTAAATCGGCACCCACAAACTGCAAAATTAATTTGCATTTAGGAAGCATTTTAGACTTATACGTATTTCGAATTGTTGTATAATAACACCCCAATGTTTTCGTCGTATCAAAACGAACAATCGAAAAAATCGCGAGAGTAATTTGTTTATCCCTGATGCACAACAAAATTTCCATTCAAAAAATTCATCAACAAACTCACCGCAGAATATGCATTCGATAACGTCATTTATTAATAACCGCAATAACGCAGTATTGAAGTATTGAACTATTATTTCAGAACTGTTTGTTAAAGATTGGTGCAAAATAAGCCATGCTTGAGTACATGACGGAACGTTATATTATATGTCGATCAATCTTCAATCATGTAGGTAAATTACAGATGGAAAATGTTGTTTTTGACGACATCTAGGTTGCACGGATATCGCAATGCATTTGATCACTTTCGATTGTTTAGTTATTGTAGCGATTCGCGTCACATTTCTGGATTACTACAAACAAGTGAAATCTACGAATAGTAATCCGTTCATGCAGTTCTACGCAAAGGTTAGTCGAAAAAAAAAAACAGCTGTATTTCTAGCCCTCTCTCTACCTTAGATAGTTGTATTCACTTTACGTCGCGTTCATCGCGCTAAATTCTTATTTTCAATTTCTATATCAGGCATAGAATATTTGGGATATTTGTTATCTACGTAGGCTTTGCCGCAAATCCGCTCGTTGCGGTTACTGCGTTTTTCAAACTGAACGAACAACCGTCAATATTTTTGTCAATGCACCACGGTTGCACGCATACGTGAACATTGAACAGAATACTCTTTTTCGATTGCGTCAAAATGTTTAAAAAAATTTTGTACGTGAGAATGCAGCCAGTAAATATCATATCAAAACACACCAAGAAACTCCCGGTTTAAATTGATAAAAAGAATGAATTTAAAAATAAATATCCCGCTGTGTACTCCCCACTGAGAAACTGATTCATTTGACAATTTTTTTTATTAATTTGAAAAAGTACCGTTTGAGTAAAGTTGCTTCGGCTTTTATTTTCTTATTAGTTCAACTTTTTTGGTTCCAAGTATTCGGCGAGTTCAGTTCAGAAAATGATTGAAAGCTGGTTTGAGTTCGAGATCCCCTGTTGCATAATGCATGAATTTCATAAGGTCAACAAAATAGAAATCGGAATTACCCAAGGCATTTGAAATGTTATGTTATTTCAACTAAATTGCCTCAAGCGATTAAACTGGGCGATAAAGACGGCCCGTTGAGACAGTTACACTTCAGTGTGAAAATCCCCACTCCTATAGCACACTTGGGAATCGAAACTTCCAGGCATTTGAGCATACGATTAGCAGGGTATAAACAACATTAAGAGATCTTGAGCGTCAATTCTCTTTACGTACGATCGTTCGCTTCACGCAAAGTTCACGCACTCGCTCTCTTTTTCGACATGACGCAAATGTCGTCGCCTTTAGGGCAAGCACGCACAGTAAACGAGAGAATGGGTCTGATAAAGAAAAGAGGGTTTGTCTCTTTTGACGTCAAAGCGAGAGAATATTCTGGAGTGTTCTTTGTTGAAATTCTCTCAAATTTCACAACGTGAAGAGAAATAGGTGTTGACGTCCCTGGTTACGATACGGACGGATGAAAAACAGTGCTTCCCCAAAGCGTGCGTAATATGAAAAAAACGAGCCTATATATAAGAGCGCGGTCCGCAATCGTCGATGTACTTCTCTCAAATCGTGAATCGTACAACAATCGAAGTATGAGTCATACTATGCGACCTTGGCAATAGTAGTATTAGCATATCTCAGTGAAATTTAATGATTCCGTCATTAGTCAAATATGCGGAAAAGGCAACGTGGGTGGAGTGTTAGAAGTTAGCAAATGAATTAATACAATACAGTCAAGTGGAATGAATCACTTCCGGGTGGGGGTTGACACACAATACTGTTTGTCACATATCCGAGACAAGAGGAATGTAAAAATATTTGTATAACGAATTTATTTCTCATCTGACATTTTCACATCCGGTTAGCAAAAACGCAGGACTCCGATGTCCGGGAAATAGATTTTAAACATATTGGACGGACTAGTCGGATTGTCTCATGCAGCCAACATCGGCTTTATATGAATACATTTCTCTGCATTTCTATTCCGTATCACTATTTAATTATTTATTCTTATTTTTTTCTCTATATAGCAAAATAAACTTACGATTTAACCGTACCAGAGAAAGCTATTATATCTTGCTTTGCGCAAGCGACGTGACGAACATAATACCATTTGACGGAAATATATTCAATTACTAAACATATATCGATGTTTTCGTCAGGAATGTACTCGGAATTGAATCCCGTTTACAACGAGGTGTGTCCGACTCCACAAATGGACGAAAATCTTTTTCAACAACACCAGAACGTCATACCATCGGTGAGTCTCACATTTGGTTAATATGTAAATTATATACTTATCTATGCAAATGTAAAGGCGTTGGTCCCTGAGCAAACTTCCAAATTTTTGTCCAAATTTAGAAACAAAATCGTGGATCGTGATATTAGGAAAACTGAAAAGAACGAATTCATGGCAAGAATTTACTCCCAAGTTTTTTTTTAACCCTTTTGTATTCTTGCCAAATTTGCCTTGTCATGGGACTTCGAAGTCGCGTGATCAAAACGTGAAACCCTTTAATAGTTGATTACGAGGGTGATATGGCAACATCACATGACCTAGCAGAAAATTTGATGATAAGGCAAAGGCATATATATTAAATTAAATTTAACAAGTTCGTCCATTTTTGAAATTCATATCAATTTTGCGCAAAATTTCCGGTTGTAAATACCTTGAATTCTTATAATAATTCCGTTCGCCTTTGAAAATTTGTGAAATGAAATGTAACTGCCGGGCTCGATTACTTACTGTCGATATAGGAGAGATGGCAATGTACGTTGTTTGTTCGTAAATTTAGGTACGTCACAGACGACTTTTTCGCGGCGCTTCGATCTCGTTTAAAAGCGAGCGCGTCTTGCGCAAGACTTAGTAATGCCAAATAGTACGATTCGGGTAGTTGCGACCGCTGAGCCAGGCTATGATAGTATTAGTCCATTATTGTCCAAGATAAACCAGTAATACTGTTTAAATTAACTTATTGAAAGAAAGTAGGCTTGGGAAAATATATTTACTGTTGGTTTACGAAAAATGTGATATTTCATGTTTTTTTGCGAGAATTGTTTAGTATTTTATTTAATAAGAAAATACTCATATTTTTCAGAATTATCCACATCAGTATAACAGTCCAGTAGAGTCTCATAATCAACACCTTACATCTATTGTACCATACGGACACTCGACTGGTCAACGATCGTTTTCACCGGGAATGTCAGGAAGTGCAGGCGACTTACGAGGCATGGGAATTCCGGGGCACGTATCGGCGGACGCCGAAGCACATTATTCACCGAGCCCGCGAGATCTTACCACCGTTGCTAATCGTCCAGATTTACAATGGATGGTCACAACAAGTAACATTGACATGAGGACCATTACGCCACCAAATGCCGTAGTGTCACATTCAGGCCACAATCAAGGAATGCATTATAACTCTGCCTTGCCACAAGGAACGAATTCGTCGGCTGTATCTATATCTCACACTGGTTTTGCCGGACCATCATCATCCACAATAGATCAGAAACCAATCGCAAGAAATAAGAATGGAAAACCAAAAGGAACGCCTGGAAGAAAACGAAAAGTCGAAGACCATGTTGTAAGTATTACCGCTAATCATTTCAATAGTTATCTTATAGTAATCAGTGATTTTGGGTTTGTTCTTGACAGTTTATATTTTTTATTTTAAACTTATAGAAGCATATTAAAAAGCTAATTAAATAATCAATTTGAACTACGTGAATATTGCTTAAAATAGGTTATTGTAGCATGCAAACATTAGCGTATTGAAAATGAAAATCATGTCATTTTTTTACCGAACAGTTGTCACCAGAAGAAGCAGCAAAGCGTCATTTAAGAAGAGAAAGAAACAAACTCGCTGCCGCAAAATGTAGAAATCGCAGACGTGAATTGACTGATCGTCTGCAAGGAGAAACCGACATACTCGAGGATCACCAAGGAATGCTTACACAAGAAATCGTTTCCCTGCAACAAGAAAAAGACCACCTTGAATTCATATTGGCGTCACACAATCCGGTTTGTAAAGTTTTACAAACTAAATCTATGAATATAGTCGGAGATCAAAGTCCTAAAGATATGCACTCAATGGGAGCTGATTGCATGGCTCTCCACGACCACAGTGCGAATCTTGTGTCACCAATGGATGTAAGCAACGACTTCGGACACTTGAGTTCTGGTAACGGACGCCTAAACAATGGACAAGCCACAACTGTATCCGTTATACAAGCCGGACCGTCCATGGGTAGAGGCGTGAACGAAAACACATACCCACAGCAACAAAGTTCTGTAATAGTCGACGGACTCATGCACGGTCAAGGATATCCAGAAGATTTGAGGACGTCATCTCAAAACCACTCAGGAAGACGTTTTCCCGACGGCTTACAAACTTTGGACCTTGAGCAAGTGGTAGCAGGCGAACCTTTAAACACTCCAGCTTGCACACTTGAAACCCCATCTAATACATCAGCCGTTTTTACATTCCCGAACACACCTTGCGTCACTAGCAATTCGATATTAAACAACGGGATGGCTTTCCAAGATAACTTCAGTTCCATAAATTCAACAGAATATTCCTGTAGTTCCGGAACGGTGATGTCGACTGGGAACTTTCTTCACCCAAACCATGCTCAAATGCAATATAATGCATCACAGGGCGTTATCACATCACAGGAAGGATGTGCTGCTGCTCATAGGCGGAGCTCATCAAGCGAAAGTCATCACAGTCCAGACTCAGTTCAATCACCAAAATTGCTGTCTCTTTGAGAGTGAGGGCGAATAAAAACTTTAGCCATAAATAGGCAAAGTTGGACATTTCTTTATTGATGCAATCCGAATTTAGTTTTTTTTTTATTACAGTCTTAATCATTCCAGTAGTAAATGCTTTTCAGTAAGTCGAAAATATGATGGGAATTAGGTCATTCCGTCAAGTCTTTCGAGTTCAAATTAAAAAACTGAAATTGCCATTACATTTGACAGATATATCGATGATACGATTCAATTTACCCCTTCTCGTTATTTAATAAGTTTTATTCTTTGTTGTATTATAATTTCAATGTTATTGGTTTTTATTACTTTGGGCTGCTTCTATTTTATTTTCCACTTTTTGTTTTTTTCTTTGAGCTGAAGGTGTCTGAACTGATTTTTGCCCGTAGTGTTGATGAGACAAGGTGTGATAGTGATATAAGCAAATTTTAATTATTTGCTAATTTAATTTAATGCAACATTTCAAAACGGTTATTAATTATGCCATATCGCAAAAATATTTGATTTGAGTGTTGAAATCGAGTTATTTGAGAATTAAATTTATAGTTCTCAGCGTAGTAATGTCCAAGCTGATCCGCCTATAACATTCTGTACGTGGTCTCCATGAAGCACTTAATATTATATAAACCCTATAGAACGACAAGAACGTGTTGAAGTTGAATTGTAATTATTGATTTATTCATTTATTTTCCTTAAATTTACTTCTTATTTTTATTCATATTCAGAAACATAAATAAATTTCAAATTGTCCAGAAAAAAGTTTAAAAAAAAACAGTCTAATTTATATCATTTTTTCTGTTTGTTATGTTTTTTCTAATTACCTTGTTGATTTTTCAATTGCTTTATTTTTAATTCAATACAACTTGCACAAAGGTGACCGCTATACACTGCGATGATTTACTTTTTAAATTTTATTTCGAGGACCAAATTTTTAGCTTTTCTTGCTTAAATATTTTATTATCGCTGCTTTTGAGATTTCAACTCATATCGATAAAAAAAATACATCTGAATGTACAAATCTCGTAAGCTATAACATGCGCTTGCTTTTAGATATATAATGGTAGCAATTGCCCATTCTATTGTGAGGGAAAAAAACGGTACCCCCCAAATGATTACATATAATACTAATCGGAGATCGTTCCTTTTTTTTTCATTTTTCAAAACTTCGTTATTATTTTTGTTAGTATTTATTTATATTTCCATTTTTCTTTCTGTGATTTAATAATGAATTAAACGGATCATTATCACGAATTAATTTGTATGTTTGAAATTTACTTCAGGCGATATTATACAGGAAATAGGATTTCGGCAAAAAAAGATGTTTAAAAAAGCACAGCTAACTGCGAAATAGTAGAGTAGGCCTATTCAGTTTTGTGATGAAAAATACGGCAAAATAATAAGTAGTTTAATATATTTCACAGAATTCGGTTTCTCATTCGGATAGACAAGAGGAAAGCAAATTGCAAAGTTAGAATGGTAAATTGAAGAATTTCTCCCGAGATGAGAACAAAATTCGATTCATCTTGATAGTAAAATAATTTTCTTTTCAACTTTCGGACACCGTACACTTTCTATTTAAAATGTTCAGATTAGAAACACACAGACAGACATTCAATAGCTGGTTAGGTTCGGAATATATTAACAACATCAAATTGTTTGTCTTAATGGAGGACAAAAAACAACATCTAATTTAATATAGAGTCAATTCTCAATTCCACCATCCATTAGTCGTGTTCGTGTAGGTGTATTTTTCAATAACCGCCACGCGACCGCTACAACTATAGTGGCCAGAAACGGATAATAGGTGTTTGTTGTACTATGACGTCATTGACAGTTTATCGGGGTCAGAGCCAATTTTGGATCAAAATATCATGAACGAGAAAAACAACTCAGATTTGACAAGGCATGGGCTAGTAATAATTCTTGCTTGAAACAACTTATCTGTATTCTCGATTCGGGTAAGTCAGAAAAATTACTATAATGTATAAATTGTTATACGTATGCCAGAAGAGGGCTGAGCATAACAATTTCGAGGGCCATTAGACTGCCTAAAGTACCTATTCGTGTGACGTGAGTATATGACCATGCCTTTACAAACAAACGTATATCAGACCTATGTAAATAACATGTCCGACTAATCCGATTGTATTCGGTACGGATAGCCTGCGTGGGGTCCTGTTTATGAGTATCGGATAAAAGAAGATATAGTCGAATAATGGCTCTTTTGAGTTTAATGAAGATACCGTAACGAATAATTGATATGCAGGTAATCTGGAGTTGTTTACAGTAGATGAATTCCGATGCTCGTTTGATTTTAAATCTTCAGCACTTCTTCTATTGCTTGCATTAGAAATGAGTTCTTGCTCCGAAATTTTTTTTATAAATATGTTTTTAGTTTTATGCGCTAATTATGGAAATCTGAGACAGTCGTTGGACAGTTTTGTTCAAAGAATAAAAATAAAAAATAATGGTGTTACGCCAAAGTCATAGATCAGCTAACAAAAATCAAAATGTCAAGAAACATCCTGCAAGAGTATTTAAACTTTCCGAATTGCGTGTAAGATGAGCGACAAGCAGCAGAAATACGACAAAAATATATTCTGAAAAAGCTTCATCAATAGGCTTATGAAGAAGCAAAAATTTGACTAATTATAATTGCAAGTAAATTACAAAACGTAAAGACACGCGATGTGATAATTCGTTGCTTTCTAGTATATTTTCGAAATGATGGTTTTTGCGAATTTTATATTTATTAAACCTCCAATAGTAAATGACATATTATATATGAAAATAGAAAAAAAAAACAGATTTTATCATGTTAAAGCTTTATCATGTTAAACAATTATAAAAATATTGACCTAATAATATTGACGTATTAAATGAGGCAAGAAATGAAAAAAACATTTAACCTATTGTCACCAAGCACTTAAAATTAGTGTTGTTTTACCTCATTGAAGGCAAATAAAATAAGCAGAAAGTTCAAAAATAGGAACAAATCTTAAAAATAAGAATGGTATAGAAGCCTTGCTTTGGACCATAATTTTAGATGTTTCGATCTAGTTTCAAGGATTATATATATCTATGTATATATATATATATATATATCTAATACGGTAGTTAGGTAGACATACCGTGCTAAAAAAGCGACAGTTATGTAGACGGAAAAATTGGGTAGACATTTTCCTGTCCGCTTAATTATTCCACGTTCAATAATTAAAACGTTTTGCGATATTTTGCTGAAATCTCTTTTTCTCTGATAAAACAGTATCAAAAATAATATGTTCTTTCAATATTTTTTAAATAATTGCACATTTTCGCCAACTTTATTGGGACAGTAGTTCTGCTGGTTTATAATCAATGGGTTTAATTTTCGTACATAAAGTGGACATTTTATTTATGCAAAAATCTTTTAATTTTTCGGTATATGTTTTTACGATTTTTGGAGAGTAGGTTTGATAATTTTGATACAATAACCAGGCAGAACATGAAGATCGTCCGTTCTGTTTTTTGCAATATAAGCTCAATAAACTGAAAAGGACCTCAATTCACAACTTCGTACTAAAGAGGCTTTGTGTCGCAATAGTAAAACTGTCGGGTTCGCCGAGAACTTTACCACGTTTGCCGTATTGTTCGCAAGTAACCTTGGCGCCGTGAGGGGATTGGGAACTTCATGAGTGCGTGATTGCCGAAATTTAGATAAAATAGAACAGTTGTGTTTGGAGAAGCGATCCAAGTCTTTTGTGTCAGGTGTTATCAGTTACCCAGTGAGTTGAAGTCGAGTCAAAATAAGCAAGGATTTCAACATCACCGAGGAATGCTGCTGGAAATCATCACTCATCGGATAAGGTGATTAGTCATAACGATTTTTAATATTAGGGTTACCATATTTTTGGTGTTGAGATTTTTCACGTAATCCAGACTATCAAAATATAGACTACTGATACTGTTATGCTTTTACTGGTCGTAGTTCTGATCTGACCATCAAAATAATGCTACGACTGGATTTTTGTTTGTAAGAGTGTGTAATTCAGAAGGATTTCTAAATCCAGATGAAAATACAAACGAAGATTGTGGAAATTCAATGATTCAATTTTTTGTCGAATCAGAAGGATATACGAGAAGCGAGTGGTTGACGTTTGTATAGCTTGGTGTAAATAAAAATATCTAATACACCGCTTCATATTAGATTAGAATATTTCATCTTCGGAAAACAGTTTTGGAGAATTGCATTGCTAGCAATTTTGTTTTGTGATTTGGCACATATCCCTGAGTTATTTTACCATCCTCATCTAGGTATTTACTGGGCTGTATTTTTGTTCACATTTAGGTGACTCTCCAACGAGATGGCCCACGTTTCAGAACTTGGCAGACGAAAATGCGGGTAGTGATTCGGAGAAAACTGTGCCAGGAGGTGACTAAGTGAGTTTGCTATGCTTGTTTTTTTTATTAAATACAGTATCGTAAATTGATACCAATGAATGGTAATAAACCAAATCATAATATCCTTTGTAGCCCATCACAAATAGCGCAGCTATCTACGAATAATTGTAGTGCACCGTTTAGAAACTCTGGTTTATTTGAGTAATAATGCAATTATCCATTTCAAACATTTCGTTTGTTCGATCAATCAAGAGTAGCGTAATTCTGAATCGGACTAAAACACTGTGATGATGTTTTGTGACTTATGCATGTATTTTTGACCAAAGTTTCAGATAAGTCAACAGACTATACCGCACCATCTTCAGAATCACTTTCAATAAGCAATGTAAGTGATTTCAAAGACAACCATATATATGGAAAAGAAAAAGGCTGTAAATCAATTAAAAAAAAAGCTTCTAAACAAACGCGAACCAGAAAAGAAACGACGAAAGGAAGAATAATTGCACGGATTGGTATATCTTGCGAGAAGTTTATTGTAAAGCTTTAAGACATCTCTGTATAATTTATAAAGATGAACCGGCAGTGAGCATAATCTTGTCTCTCCTCAACAACTTAACCTAGTGGGCATATCCACATTCGTATACATACTTGGCATACATTTTTACTATTTAATTATAAATTCAAAATAACAATCATGTTTTTGTATTCCGAGTTGGTGCAAAAATTTTAAATAAATTGTGCAAATATTCTAAATTGATATTGAGGTTCAATAATTTCATTTTGATCGCTTGTATAGTTGACTGTATAATCAATTACTGCTATAATTAGTCGCCCTGATAGGTAGACATTTGAGTTATAATTGGTGTGATGTTTCTCATTTTAGTTGACATGGCAAAATTTCGTTTCGCAGTTATAGGCCCCACTGAAAACGTCACTTAATTGAACATTTGAGATATGTTGTGTATAATGTTTCTCGATATTTTATTCAGAATTTCGTGTTTTAATTACATACCTTCTGAAATGGTCGGATGGTTGAAATTTTTTTTGAATGCTTCTCAATATTATTGCCATTCCAAAATATCATTTTGCATTTACATGACACACTTACGTAGCTGAGTAGATGACGATTTGCGATTTATTTTCTGTTTTGTTTTTCAATATGGTTTAAAAATTTTGTTTTATAATATTTGTCACTCTCAAGTTATCGGATAGGTAAACATTAGAGATAAATTTTGAGCAATTTTCCACAACATCAAAATATGATTAGTATTCGAAATTTCGTATTTCAGTTAAATTTCACACACTTAAGTGTGTGAGATATATTTTGTGTAAGGTTTCTCAATACGATTCCAGAATTTTGTTTCAATAGTTGTATGCCACACTTAGGTGGTCGGATATGCGGACATTTGAGATATATATTTTGCGTAATGTTTCTCAATATTATTTCAGAATTTTCATTTCAATTTTTGTATGCCCCACTTAGGTGGTCGGATAGGTGGACATTTGAGATATACTTTGTGTAATGTATCCCAATATGATTTCAGAGTTTTCATTTTTTTTTTTTGCCACACTTAGGTGGTCGGATAGGTGGACATTTGAGATATACTTTGTGTAATGTTTCTCAATATGATTTCAGAATTTTCATTTCAATTCTTGTATGCCACACTTAGGTGGCCGGATAGATGGGCATTTGAGATATACTTTGTGTAATGTATCTCGATATGATTTCAGAATTTTCATTCCAATTCTTGTATGCCACACTTAGGTGGCCGGATAGGTGAACATTTGAGATATACTTTGTGTAATGTTTCTCAATATGATTTCAGAATCTTCATTTCAATTCTTGTATGCCACACTTAGGTGGCCGGATAGGTGGACATTTGAAATATACTTTGTGTAATGTTTCTCAATATGATTTCAGAGAGATATACTTTGTGTAATGTTTCTCAATATGATTTCAGAATTTTCATTTCAATTCTTGTATGCCACACTTAGGTGGCCGGATAGGTGGACATTTGAAATATACTTTGTGTAATGTTTCTCAATATGATTTCAGAGTTTTCATTGTGATTGTTTCATGCCACACTTAGGTGGTCGGATAGGTGGACATTTGAGATATACTTTGTATAATGTTTCTCAATATGATTTCAGAGTTTTCATTTCAATTCTTGTATGCCACACTTAGGTGGCCGGATAGGTGGACATTTAAGATATACTTTGTGTAATGTTTCTCAATATGATTTCAGAAGTTTCATTTCAATTCTTGTGTATGTCACACTTAGGTGGTCGGATAGGTGGACATTCGAGATATACTTCGTATAATGTTCTCAATATGATTTCTGAATTTTCATTTTAATGTTTAATGCCACACTTAGGTGGCCGGATAGGTGGACATTTGAGATATACTTTGTGTAATGTTCCTCAATATGATTTCAGAATTTTCATTTCAATTCTTGTACGCCACACTTAGGTGGCCGGATAGGTGGACATTTGAGACATACTTTGTGTAATATTTCTCAATATGATATCAGAATTTTTATTTCAATTCTTGTACGCCACACTTAGGTGGCCGGATAGGTGGACATTTGAAATATATTTTGTGTGATGTTTCTCAATATGATTTAAGAATTTTTTTTTCAATTGTTGTATGCCACCCTTAGGTGGTCGGATAAGTTGACATTTGAGATATATTTTGTGTAATGTTTATCAATATACTTTCAGAATTTTTATTTCAATTCTTGTATGCCACACTTAGGTGGCCGGATAGGTGGACATTTGAGATATATTTTGTGTGATGTTTCTCAATATGATTTCAGAATTTTTTTTTTCAATTGTTGTATGCCACCCTTAGGTGGTCGAATAAGTTGAAATTTGAGATATATTTTGTGTAATATTTATCAATATTATTGGATTATTATATTATTGGATTATTATATTATTGGATCAATATTATTGCCATAATTTTGACTTGGTGTTGATATCTTGACACTTACAACATAGCATCTGTTTAATCTATATGTTGCACCATAGGGTTGGAATAGGCGAACATTTGTGATATGCTCTGTGTATTTCTCAGTTTCAAATATATAACACGTTTGGATCAATTTGTTTCGATTTGTCTACCTTCGCGTTGCATTTTGAGTATTTTTTGATGTAGAAGAATATTTCCAACACCAAACACAGTGCATCTCCCTTGCACAAAAGACGGAACATTGAAAAAGAAATGCTATTTTTGTGATAAATATTGCTGAATGGTTCGAATCCATCGGAAATTAAAGGGAGGTCATACGCTTTAAAATGCGTATTAAAATAAAAGCAACATCATTTATGTAGACATCCAGAGCGACATATAAGAGGGGTCCGGCTTAGTGCCGAAATAGGCTAAAACATTTGGTGGTCTGAATTAAGTGGACGAATTGAGCGGACAAAAATTTTATATCTGTTACCGAGAGGATTGTGTTGACTCTTTTTCTCCGTAGTTGCCAACGGCTCTCGCACTCTCCAAACACGTATTTAAAAACAATGATACGGACACAGGAACGACGTCCGCTTAAGTACTGCAATTATGGCAGGTCCGTTTAACTACCGTAATAGAGTTATATATATATATATATATATATATATATATATATATATATGTGTGTGTGTGTTCGGAAATGACGTCATACCTGAGCATATAAGATTTAAAAAATTTCAATCGACAATACATCTAAGAAAATATTAGGTGTATGTCTATGCTTCTAACATCCCTATTTTCCTAGGAAGGCAGTAGGAAATGGAAGTCTTAAATGAATTAGGTCATCACACTAATGCTTATATCAAATGCATATCTATGCTGACGTCCTGTTTATTGACCATCGCCAGAGGCGCCTTGCACTTGTTTATCATGGGCGGATTAATGGAATTAATGGACTTTTTAAATCAATTATACATTAGAATTGAATGTAATTCATGATATAGTGTCAAAATAAAGCACAAGTTTGGATTGCAAGATACGTGAATCACTCAATTTGTCCCAAAATCTGCTTAGAATCTTGACAATATTGGATGATTATTCCACATAGCATATGGAGCTTAATTCCATTAAAACCTTCCCATTGTAAAATGATTCATTAAGTTCGGTTCACAAATGTCTTTATGGTTTTCTTGGTAAAATTTTTTTTTTCTTTATTCAATAAACAAGTATACTTCAACGCCATGTTGTGTATTTGAGTAAATAAGTTAAACCGCAATGTGCACATATGTTGGGAAAATCCAAGTCTGAGTGACGCTTCTAACTTGTACGCTTTGTGATTCATCGTATCTATTGGGTGAGAACAGAATCAACAGTGATTTTTCTGGGAAGACATGAAGATGGTAAGGTATTGTCGGAAGACAATGACGTCACAAAAAAAAAATAACTCACAAAGATCGCCTTTAGACATTTAGCTAGCACTCCGCGAATGAAGTCTGGGCATATTCTCGTTCCGCATAGATTTTTCTAAGTTTGTTGCTTTTATGGCTACCTACGAAGCGTATACGTGATATATGACTTTCTAGTCTTAGGACTAACAGGTATCAAGTTATTAGGAAACTCTAAACGTGCAGAATATTTTAATGGCTTTCAGTATAAAAAAGAAACTAATTTCGAAGTCGTGGGATAAGTATGAGGTATTTAGTTAATGTATCTTATGAGGTATCTCTCTTAACAACAAAATAAATTCAATGACGCGAAGCAGAAAATGCCTTTTTAAAACATTTGGTGGGTATATCATCAAATTTTGCGGATGCGTTGTTTTCTGAATATACCTACTAGCAATGAACTAAACACATGTTATTGAGAAATTCATTTAATCACCAGATTCTCCATGTTCTTAGAATACTATAGTCGACATATACACGGGCAGTGTACATATGCTGACGAGTAGTTCAGTCAGCTGGACAAAAAGGTGAATGATACAATAGGAAGTGTTTCATTGCTTGAGCAAGCGTTTTATCAGATTTAAAAATGGAACAATTGAACGTGTATAATCTTAGTATACTCACGTTCAAGATATATTTATAAAGTATTGCGCTCTCCGCTGAATAAAAACTGAAACAATTTATACATATTGAAAGAAACACAAAGAAAAATATCGTATATATCCTAGTTGACAGCATGGTCTTTTCGAACTATCTCTTCCCGCTGGGTAGAATGAGTTGTCGATAACAATCCAAGATTATAAACAATCGCTGGTATTGAGATAAATACATTCATTTTTGATATCATTTGAACAACACTGATAAATAGTTTGTAAACAAGTAAGCTGTTTTCAACTCTACGCTAATACGTTGAGTTGGTGGCTGCAATAAATTTGTAATAGTTTTAAAAATAAAAAAAATTATCCTACATCATTGCTAAAAACTAGAAGGTATGAAAACATGTTGGATTATAAAGAAAGCGAAAGTCGACAAAATATGTTT